AGTTACATCTAAAACAGTAATATTGTAGTATATTTACTGGTTCCTGTCACCCTCTTAATTTTGCCTTTTGTGGAACATTTAGAGTTATAGAGTATATATAGAGTTATACTTTTTTTTTTTTGCAAAATATATCTTCACTTGAACTGCTTATAATTCATGTCTATAATGTAGGTTATGACACTGCTTTACATACAAACCAGTTCATTAACTAAAGCACTGACTGCAAATAAAACCTTTTTTCCTTCTTTATGTTTAAAATCTAATTTTTCTGTGTAAAGTTGTCACTGTCTGGTGGTCCAGTATGCCCGAGCCGCTCCTTCTTCCCTCTATTGTTCCCTCATTTATTTGCTGTCTTTCAGCTGGAGCCTCCATTTATCACCTACTTCTCTCTGGTTGAAAAAAAAACTTTAAACTTGCTCTTTTCTCATTATGTCTGCATCTGAGTGCTCAAATCTAAGTTTTTTAAATCTTGTATTAGAGAGAAGATTACAGTGCCATTTTTTTACTTGTTGGGGCAAGGCAGTGGTATTTTCTCTGTAATTTTACAATTTTATGCACAAAATGAGCTAATGTTAAATTTGATGTTTGCTACAGGCCACACAAAAGCTGTCAAGTGGGCAACAAATGGCTGAAAAACAAGAAAGTTCAAAAAGATTCAGCCTGGAGAACATATAGCAAATTATTAAGTTATTATTATTTGATTGCTTTTTAGTTGTTTAACATGCTTACCTATAAAAGAGATGTGAAAAAAATAGTGGCTCGTGTGGATTAAAAGTCTTTTAGTTTTCATTTTGTTCAAATTTGAAGAATTTGGTTTGTAAAACTAGACCAATAAAACAGAACTCCATAACTAGATACTGCTCATAGTGGGTGAGAAACTGAGATCTTGAACATTTTATATGCTATTATTTGCATGCACACCATGATGTTCTTCAAGACTGCCTGATCTTTCCTGGCCTCTGTGCTTATCATCTCAAACACTCACAAAAACAAAGACACATATTTGGAGTCCTCACCATGACTAGGTCGGTTCCATATTTTCTGTGAATCTCGTCCACGCTTATTTTGTGATCATCCTAAGGAGAGTGTGGAAGAGAAAAAGATGAAAATGTCATTTGAGGCTTAAAAAACGTCCCTGTAAATTCCTCCAGAAGGACACAGGGGACAAAATGCATCTGCTCTTCACACATTGCTCCATACAGAGTCATTTTAAGATAAGAATCTTTTTGTGTTTGAACACGAATTTTCACATGTTATAAACTCTTTATACTATATTGGCTTAAATTGCGCCAATCAAACACTTACATGAGAGATTATCCCAGAGTGGCTTCACATAATTTACGTACTCACCAGGTCAACTTCTTTTTTCAGGTCTTCCGTATCCCTATTTTTTCTGCCCTTCTTGCTCCTCTTTTCCTCGTGGTCTGCGGTTTCCGCCAGTTTGTAGTCATCTTTCATTTTCTGTTATGAACAAAGTGTCACAAAATGGAGTTCTGATTAAGACTAAAATCGAAAGTGATTTTAAAGCAGAAAGTTGCATTAAAACAAAATTATTAATTATTGTCAACAATTAAAGAATAATATATTGTTAACTGATATGCTGTGAAATATTAGAACAGCAAATTCAAATTCAAATAGATCATTTTAGAATATGTTTTAAGTTTCTAAAGCTGTAAAGAAATTAATGTATGTTTTCACAGTGTCACAAAATAGGGGTTTAAATAAAACTGATACAACATGAAACATCCTGGAAAGTTGCCTTTCAGATTTTACATAATGAACTAAAATGTGTCATTGTTTATATAATTTCGAAAAATGTCTCTTCACAGTTGATAAAGCAGTCAAAAAAAAAAAAGAAAGAAAGAAATTTAACAGAGATGTAAGCTAATGTGTAAGTAAGCTGCAAGAATATTCAACCCTGAGCAATCCAAAACTGTCGAGCTCAGTCCAAACTTACTGTCACTCCCATGGTTGCAGTGCAGTCTGACAGCAGTCAGTTCAGTTAATCAGTCTAACCTCTCTACTCCGCCTCCCTCTTTCAGTCCAGTTGTCTCCTGCGTCTTCCACTCCGCCCTGAACATAGATGGCTTAAGTTCAGCTTACTTTTATACCTGTGGAGGAGGAGCTTAGAGGAAGGAAGCGTGGAGGTTAAACTCAATAGGTCATGGGTTGGGTTGATTAAACTGCTCCCACACTCTTTTTTTTGCTTCAGTCACTGCCAAGGGTACCCGTCATCTGTGTCCAGAAGCCCAACAGCTAACCACGCTTGGTTGGACTCCTTCAGCTTGATGGCTCCCTTCAGCTTTGGTGCCACTACTCAGTGCAGATATCTCGGCAATAGAGCTACCACAATTGATCTGTCAACCTCGATAACCTTTCATCCTTCTCATCCTTGCGTTGCTGGAAGGGGAAGTTAAAGATCTAACAAACAAGGATCCTCCGCCAGACATGCACAATGAACCCTCCCTATACATTTGGGCACAGCAAACCTCACCGCGAATCTGGTCATACAATTACAAAACCAATCATCAGCAACCTAGTGTGTTCTAGGTGCCTTGATGAACACAGCTATGCTCAAAAATTGACCCTGATATCCCTCATCAAACCAAGATGTTCTCTTCCTGTTCGCAAAGAAAGGGCTGCCCTTGATGTCTGGCTGGTCGGAGTACATGGAGTTACAGGATATGTTTGCTGTAAACGTGTGAATCAATGTAAGCATGTTATCATCTCATTAAGCAAGGTTAGGATGGGTGTAAGGATAGAAAGAAAGAAACTGCAAAGAAGAGATATACTGTGAAACAAAAAAAGGGTGAGGGAGAAAACCTAGAAAAGAAACATGGAAACTGTCTGAAATAAATGTGAGAGAAGAGATGAAGGAGAGGGTTATTTGCCATTTGCCTTGGGAAACCCCATGAGGCAAAAATATATCTCTAATTGATTAGGATTTTTCACCATTTATGGAAGGAACAGATTTTTAGAAATGAAAAAACATAAAAAAAATTACAACTTGTAATCTTGTAAAATTCATTATGGAAAATCTTTAAGGAGTAGTTTTGTCAACAAAAACCTGGCATGTAATTAAAAAACACTTTTGACCCTGATGTCCCTCATCAAATCAATGTATCCTCTTCTTGTTTAGGAAGGAAGGGCTGTCCTTGAAGTTTTTATGGGTGCAGAGCAGGGAGTTGCTGGATATGTTTGCTGTAAACGTATAACTTTGTGTTATCAACCCACAGAGCAAAGTGAGGATCGTTGTGAAGATGCAAAGAATGGAGCGACAAAGATGAGGTAAAATGTAAAACAAAAGGCGCAGGAGAAAAACATGGAAACTGTCTGAAATAAATACGAGAGAAAAGTAAATGATGAATGAGATGGTTCAAATTTAAGTATGAGGTCCAAAGCACACTTCTGTACATATTAATATATATTTAGAAAAACACAAAATGGTTCAGTCCATCCCACGCTTGACTCACCTTTATAGCACAACTGATTTATTCTGCCTAGGCGAGCGCTAATCCACACTGTGAGTCATGTCTTTCTACAAGAAAGCAAAATCAAATAATTAGAAGAAAGAAAAGAGAGGGGCAGAAAGCGGTCCTTAAGAAACGCTTTTTCCAAAGAAAGGTGAGCTGAGCACAACAAGCATTTTAACCCAGAGATGTTAACCCAGAGAGTTTGAAAAAGTAGGAGATCTTACTTTACTTGAATTGACACATAGTGAGCTCACATACTGCCAACAGCAGCTATTCTCAGCAATCTTTTATTTCGATGGCAGTATCAACGAAAAGCTTGGCAGTATTAACGCCTG